ACACGTCTCCTTCAAAGTGCTAAATACTATTTCAGACTGGAGTGTGATAATGCACTGAAATACAGTTTTACCCAAGCTGGTGTAGATATTTCACTCATAGGTAAGATATTTTGTTTTCATCCATTTACTGACAATTCATGAATAAATTACACTTGTGGAACTGCTTTGAGCTTGCTCTGAATTCACTGGATTTTACTCAGCATATAAAAACTGAAACTGCTGCTCATTGACTGACCAGAATGTCTTCCCACCAGCTGCTCCTCCCTCACCGACTCTGACTCCATCCACACTGAAAGTGAAGGAGGGAGCCTCAGTGAGTCTGACGTGCTCTGCTCCAGCTCCATGTTGGTCTCATCCTCCAGCTCTGACATGGAGCCCTAACCTGGGTCAGAGTCAGGAGACACTGCAGGAGAATCAGGACAAAACTAAAGTCAGGACCTCTGTTATGAATTTCACTGCTTCTCACCTCCATCATGGAAATAAAATCTCCTGCACTGCTGTCTACCAGAAACAAGATGGTAGCCCTGATGTCACTGCTGAAGCAAGTTTAACTCCTGATATTTCATGTGAGTTTATTTTTCTCTTAAACTAATGTAATGATTTACTTTTTTCTGTGACGATCACCTGTCCATCACCCTTTTCATTTCCACCTCAGATACTGAACTTGACTTTAAAGCACTTGTTAAAGCCCAAAAAAGATGACACAAGAAAACAGAGCTGAAAAACTGAAGATGAAGTAATCAAAATACAAGCAAACTACTAGGCTGCAAACATAAAAACAAAATAGATGAAGAAGTGCTATTGCAGCTGTTTCAGACTGAAACAGTCCTGCCGTGGTCATCCTGCATCACAGCATCAGTCTGTAGTTATCACTGCAGGTGATGATCTCCAGAGTGAATCAAAAGTTGTAACTTCTCCATCTGTGGCTGTAGTTCAGGAGGTAGCATAGGTCGTCTACTAATTGGAAGTTTGTGGTTGCAGACTGGCTGCTCCAGGCTGCATGTAGACTTGGGCAAGATACTAACCCTGAGGTGCTCTCCGATACATTCATCAGGATGTGAATATAAGATAGAAAGCACTTGTGCAAAAAAAGTTTATAAAAATCTCTTTGTATAAATGGGTGAATGAGGCCAGCTGTATAAAGCTCTTGGAGTGCTCAGAGTGCAAAAGTGCCAGATGAAAACCAGTCATTTTACCATCTTCTTTGTCTAATCCTCTTGAGTAATGTGGTCTGTGTGTGGATCCTTTTGGAGCAGCCACAGTTGCTGCGGTGTCCTGAATTGATTGGTGGGTTTTCTCTTCTGCTGAGAGCCTTCTGCTGATAACATGTGAGAGAAGAGCAGGTGTGAGCAAACAGAATCCATAAATCATGACAATAGTTTGATTTCTGCTGTGATAATGACATTTAGATGATTACATTGTCTGTCATTAAAATTGGGTGTAGCAGGAAGCCTGGATGTCAGATGTCCTGATGTCCTGATGGAGACAGACATGATACTCAAAATATAACATAACTTTAAAAAAAAAACTCAAAAAAAAACTTAAACTGGAGGAATGACAAAACACACAGCTAGGGAAACGGTAGATCGCGACATGGACACAGAGAAACACAGGGCTTAAATACACAGAGGGAGCAATCAGGGAATGGGTAACAGGAGGGAAACACAGCTGGGGCAAATCAGGCCTAACGAGACAAGAGGAAGCAAAACCAGACACATTAACATCAGATATGGACTTTCAAAGTAAAACAGGAAACATAACACAGACTCACAGGCAGGCACTATAACAAAGGGAACAGAGACACTGACTGGATGTGGGGATACAGCAGAAAGGGGAGACAGCAACATGGAACACAGACAGAAAACCAGAACACTAAAACTCTAACCAAACCCCACCCAGAGAACCTAAACTAAGAATAATCCTAAAACCCATAAAGCAAAGCTAGAATATAATGAAATAACAAAATCAAAGAACCAAAAACACAAAACACTGGGTCAACGACCCAGGGACCCTAACATTCCTTGGTTAACAAATAATCATGTAAACTGTTTCCTGTGTAAACTTCAGATTCCCTTAAACTTCACTCTCTTGCAACAAAGATGGCTGCAACTCTGACTTTTCTTCTCGTTAGTTCTCTGCTGCAGGGTGAGTGAAAGAAACTCAAAATCTACTTTGCGTAAACATGATTAAAGTTGATAATAATAATACACTATTGTTAATTTTAATCATTTACTTAAATTATCTGACATCAGTATTCAAGATGAATGTGCAGTAAAGTACCAAGGCTTTTTATTGATGAGATATTTAACAGTAAAAGTGTTTTGTATTAGCATCTGAATTCAATACTGAGTCGTTGTAACATGATAAATATGAAGGAAGAGATAAAACTGTTTGGGTTTTTGTTGTTATTGTTGTTGTTTTTTATCGTGTTGTGTTTCAGGTGCACTGTGTGGAACGTTCAACATTAAAATGCCACAGAAGATAAATGTTTTGAGAGGATCCTGTGTGAACATCCCCTGCTCCTTCGATGTAGAGACAAGATTTGAAAATAACTTAGATGATTCATGTAAAGCATATTGGAGTGATTCATCTTCATTTTCCACTGAAAATGCAAAACTAAAGCCAACTAAAGAAATGACAGGAGACTTAACAAAGAAAGACTGCACCACAACTGTCATTAATGCAAGTTATCTTCAAAGTGATAAATATGTAATGACCTGGCTGGGGTTGTTAGCCAGGTGCATTCTGGGTATTGTGTTGTCTCTGTGTTTTCTATCGTTCTGCTAGTTCCTATGTGTTTGATTTGCATGTTGTGTTAGTGTTATGTTAATGTAAGCCACAGTGAAGTTGATGTGTGTTCTGTGGAGTGGGTTGAATTGGCATGGTTGGCTGACACCGCGACTCTATGTGGTGGGAGCGTGATAGGGGTTCGGTGTCAGCAGTGTTACGTTGTTGTTGAAAAAGATGGTGAATAAATGCCTGGTGTGAACCACTACTGCCTCCTGCTGGATTATTCGGGAATTACCAGTCTGCTGCTGAGACGCTCGGGGTCGTGCGGTGTATGAGGCACGAGCGCTCTCCATTCGCTGTAAAGTTTAGCGATAGCTGCTAGCGCCCTGCTAGCCGTTTTAGCTAGTGAGCAGTTTAGCCAGTTTAGCTCCACTAACCCACGGTCGTTACAATTGGTGTCAGAAGTGGGATTCTGAGTGTCTAGCAGACACTATGGAGCCGACCATAGGCGAATTAGAGCGTGTAATCCGAGACAACTGCTCGCTTTTGGAAAGCATGGCTGCCGAGACCCAGCGGAGAAGACCCGAGCTGGGGCGGCCAGAGGGCCGCAGCGCGCCCCGGAACAGCCTCCCCCTGCGACGGGAGGGGGGTCCTGGGGCCGCACCACCGCTTCCTGGCAGGACGGCTGCTAAGCTACAGCACTACACTGGGGCGACGCAGCTGGAGCCGTACCTGGCCCAAGTCACGCTGGCTGCCACTCACAACGGGTGGGGTCAAGAAGAGACTGCCACCCACCTGGCGCTTGCACTGGAGGGCCCGGCGCTCCAGGTTCTACTGGACCTGCCCCCAGAGGAGCAGCGCGACCTCCAGGCTCTAACCACGGCGCTCGACAGACGGTTTGGACAGAGACCACCAGCCGAACAGAGCAGGGAGGAGCTGACTCGCCGACGCCGACGCGAGGGAGAGAGCCTGGGGTCCTTTGCTGCGGACGTCCGCCTCTATGCCCGACGGGGCTATCCGACATTCCCAGGAGCGGCACGAGAGGAGCTGGGTCTCCACGCCTTCCTGAGGGGCCTCACACCGGAGAGGCTGCGACAGCATGTCCGGCTGTCATCCCCCCGAGACCTGGAGGAGGCATTGAGGGAGGCAGAGCGGGCTGAGGAGGTGCTGCGGGGCGAGCCAGTGACCCGACGATCGGTCAGGGTGGTCGAGCGAGAGATGAGCGCGTCCCAGTCGGATGAAGAGGAGGAGGCCAGACGAGCCCAATCAGAGGCAGTTCCCCGTCGGAGGCGCCGGACGGACTGCTGTTATCGGTGCGGGGAACCCGGTCACCTCGCCCGGAACTGTCCCGCACCTAGTCCTCGGAGCCGAGTGACATCACCGACGGGAAACGGCCACGGGGTGGGACAGTGAGGGAACCCCCACCCCAATCATTAAACCCTCTCCGTGACGCTCATCCCGTGGTGGGCCGCTGTGGGTCCACCCGTGGACTGTACCTGGACTGTACAATTGATGGACGGTCTTGCCGGGCCCTGGTAGACACGGGGTCCACCATCTGCTTGCTGCGGAGGGGGGTGCTTCCGGAGACGGGCGGCTCATTGCCGAGAGACTGGACCCCTACCCACACAGCATTGTACACTGTCACGGGAGAAAAGACTGTGATGCCGGGGAAAAAGACTCTGCAGGTGGTGGTGGGAACGAACAGTGTGAACCATGAGTTCTGGCTTGCCGACATAACAGACGAGTGCATTGTTGGACTGGACTTGCTGGCCCACTGGGGGGCACGGGTCGATGTGCCGGGAGTTGCCATCCACCTGGGTGCTGAGACCGTGCAACTCCAAGTGGGCCGCGGTAGCCAGGGACAGACCCCCACCCCACCAGCACCCCCAAAGCCTTCGCGCCCCACAGCTCCATGCCACAGCCAGGGGCCGAGGGCGGCAAGGGTGCGGAAGAGGACCCAGGGGGCGAACCTAAGCAGGGCCAACATCCCGCAGCCAGAGTCGCCGCCTAGCTCGGCAGTCTCCCCGTCACCTGAGACTGTAGCAGCAGTAGAGGAGCTTGGGCGGCGGAGTGGGGTACACCTCAGTGCGACACAGCAGCGGCAGCTGCAGAGCCTCTTGGCAGAGTTTATGGACACTTTTGCCGCCAGGGAAGAGGACTGCACAAGGACGGGCCTGGTGCAGCACACTATAGACACTGGAGCAGCTGCTCCAATCCGGCTGCGGCCCCACCGCCTGCCCCTCGCCAAACGCCAAGCTGCCGAGGAACTGATAAAAGAGATGGCAGCTAATGGCGTCATTGAACCCTCGGATAGTCCATGGGCCGCACCTGTGGTTATGGTGCGGAAGAAGACAGGGGGGTGGCGCCCTTGTGTGGACTACAGGCGTCTGAACGCGGTCACCCGCAAGGACTCCTACCCGTTACCTCGCATCGATGACGCACTGGATTACATCGCAGGGTCCAGTTGGTTCAGCTCGCTAGACCTCCGCAGTGGGTACTGGCAGGTGGAGCTCGCTGCCGAGGCACGGCCCAAGACTGCGTTCACCATAGGGCAAGGACTGTGGCAGTTTAAGGTGATGCCTTTTGGACTATGCAATGCACCAGCCACGTTCGAAAGGTTAATGGAAAGGGTCCTCAAAGACATCCCCCGTGCCCGCTGCGTGGTCTATTTGGATGACTTGCTGACTCATGCTAAGGACTTTGAACAGGCCGTGGCTAACCTACGAGAAGTTCTGACTGCCATCCGCGGGGCCGGACTAAAGCTGAACCCGGCCAAGTGCAACCTTCTTGCTCGCCAGGTGAAGTTCCTGGGACATATGGTGAGCGAAAAGGGGGTGGCTACTGACCCCGAGAAGGTGGTTGCTGTGGGGGACTGGCCTCCCCCATCGAACGTCGCCGAGCTACGAAGCTTCCTGGGGCTGGCCTCCTATTATAGGAGGTTTGTAAAAGACTTTGCCACCGTCGCTAGCCCCTTGCATCAGTTGACAAACAAGGGTCAGCGGTTTGCTTGGACAGGGGACTGTGCAACGGCCTTCGAGCAGCTGAAAGCTGCCCTGGTGAGTGCCCCGGTCTTGGCGTATCCTGACCCCAGCCAGCCTTTCCTTTTGGACACTGACGCCAGCAACGTGGGGGTTGGAGCGGTGCTCTCCCAGAGGGGAGAGGCTGAGGAGCGAGTGGTGGCATACTACAGCTGCAGCCTCAACCGGGCCGAGAGGAATTACTGTGTTACCCGGCGTGAACTGTTGGCTGTGGTCCTGGCGGTTCGTCATTTCCGACCTTACCTCCTGGGCACTAAGTTCCTGCTCAGGACAGACCACGCCAGCCTAACCTGGATGCTGAACTTTCGCCAGCCGGAGGGGCAGGTGGCCCGGTGGCTGGAAATACTACAAGAGTACGACTTTGAGGCCCAGCACCGCCCAGGACGGCAGCACGCCAACGCTGACGCCCTGTCCAGGCGCCCCTGTTCTGCAGATGAGTGCCGGTACTGCAGGCGCCTGGAAGAGCTGGACCGGGGTCCGACATCGGCAGCAGCAGAACCTGAGGGTGCAGATGAAGGGCAGGAACCTTTCACCACGGCGGAACTACAGCAACACCAGGTGAGCGATCCGGCGCTGGGGATGGTGAGGGACTGGATGGAGGCAGGGACACGGCCAGACTGGTCCGCCGTGTCTTCCCAGGGGCCCGAGACAAAGTCACTGTACTCCCAGTGGAACAGCCTGGAGCTCCATGGGGGCGTAATCTACCGGCGGTGGCGAGCACCAGACGGTGGAGGCGACATACTCCAGCTCCTGGTTCCCCGGGCCTTGCGGCCTGAGGTCCTCCGCTGGGTTCATGGGGCCGCAGGTACTGGCCATTTTGGGAATGGCAAGACGGTGCGACGGCTGAGGCGGCGGTTCTACTGGCCGGGGTGTCGCCAGGACGTGGAGATCCATGTTCACTGCTGTGACGACTGCACGGCGCAGAAAGGTCCCAGCCAGCGCTCCCATGCCCCGTTGCAGCAATACCTGGTTGGGGCGCCAATGGAGCGGATCGGAGTGGACATCCTGGGTCCGTTCCCTGTTACTGATGCCGGCAACCGGTACGTCCTGGTCGCGATGGATTATTTCTCAAAGTGGCCAGAGGCGTACGCGGTGCCGGATCAGAGCGCGGTGACGACGGCGCGGACTCTGGTGGATGAGATGTTCACGCGGTTTGGTGTACCGGAGGAGCTCCATAGCGACCAAGGGAGGAATTTTGAGAGCCAGGTGCTGGGAGAAGTGTGTCGGAGACTGGGGGTGAGAAAAACGAGGACCACCCCCCTCCATCCTCAGAGCGATGGTCTGGTTGAGCGGTTCAACCGCACGCTGGCCACCCAGCTGGCCATCCTGACCAGCCAACATCAGAGGGACTGGGACCAACACCTGCCCCTTGTTTTGTGGGCGTATCGAACAGCAGTGCAGGAGTCAAGTCAATGTACTCCTGCAGCGTTGATGTTCGGGAGGGAGCTCCGAACTCCGGTGGACTTGGTGTTCGGGGCGCCCCCTGAGCCAGAGATTGCTGGTGGTCCTGAGATGGATTACTTCCGGCGGCTCAGGGAGCGGTTGCACACGGTGCATCAACTGGCAAGACGGACATTGGAGGCAGCCGGGGCCCGCCAGAAACGGGCGTATGATACCCGTGCGCACGGTCCTATGCTGGGGGCCGGGGATCGGGTCTGGGTGTTCTGCCCCCAGAGGAAGCGGGGGTTGACCCCCAAGCTCATGAGCCATTGGCAAGGCCCGGGCGAGATCCTGGAACAGCTGTCGGAGGTGGTCTTCAGAGTCCGGATGCCGGGGCGGGGAAGGCGGGTGGTGCTACACAAGGACCGGCTGGCGCCATACCATCCGCTTGCCCCCAACCCGCAGGCTGGTGTGCAGCCTGGGGACTCCTCGCCCCCTACGCCCGGCCCGGATGGGGGCGCCATGGATTCCCAGTCGAGGCCGAAGCGTACTCGACGCCGGCCCGGACATTTGCTGGACTACAGTGTGGACAGTTAAGGTTGTGGGGACACTAAACCTTTTTGGGAGGGGGCTGTGTAATGACCTGGCTGGGGTTGTTAGCCAGGTGCATTCTGGGTATTGTGTTGTCTCTGTGTTTTCTATCGTTCTGCTAGTTCCTATGTGTTTGATTTGCATGTTGTGTTAGTGTTATGTTAATGTAAGCCACAGTGAAGTTGATGTGTGTTCTGTGGAGTGGGTTGAATTGGCATGGTTGGCTGACACCGCGACTCTATGTGGTGGGAGCGTGATAGGGGTTCGGTGTCAGCAGTGTTACGTTGTTGTTGAAAAAGATGGTGAATAAATGCCTGGTGTGAACCACTACTGCCTCCTGCTGGATTATTCGGGAATTACCAGTCTGCTGCTGAGACGCTCGGGGTCGTGCGGTGTATGAGGCACGAGCGCTCTCCATTCGCTGTAAAGTTTAGCGATAGCTGCTAGCGCCCTGCTAGCCGTTTTAGCTAGTGAGCAGTTTAGCCAGTTTAGCTCCACTAACCCACGGTCGTTACAATATTTCAGATGAGTGATAATGACTGAATACAGTTTTACCCAAGCTGGTGTAGATATTTCACTCATAGGTAAGATATTTTGTTTTCATCCATTTACTGACAATTCATGAATAAATTACACTTGTGGAACTGCTTTGAGCTTGCTCTGAATTCACTGGATTTTACTCAGCATATAAAAACTGAAACTGCTGCTCATTGACTGACCAGAATGTCTTCCCACCAGCTGCTCCTCCCTCACCGACTCTGACTCCATCCACACTGAAAGTGAAGGAGGGAGCCTCAGTGAGTCTGACGTGCTCTGCTCCAGCTCCATGTTGGTCTCATCCTCCAGCTCTGACATGGAGCCCTAACCTGGGTCAGAGTCAGGAGACACTGCAGGAGAATCAGGACAAAACTAAAGTCAGGACCTCTGTTATGAATTTCACTGCTTCTCACCTCCATCATGGAAATAAAATCTCCTGCACTGCTGTCTACAAGAAACAAGATGGTAGCCCTGATGTCACTGCTGAAGCAAGTTTAACTCCTGATATTTCATGTGAGTTTATTTTTTCTCTTCTAAACTGAAATTACAATAATATACTTTCTTGACTTGGTTTAAATTAGACATAAAATGGTTAGTAAATTACAGTGATGTTATGAGTATGCCATAACAACGTCTTTGGGTTTTATAAAATATAATGAAGACTTTAAAAGTTTGAATTTAATTTCATACTTTAATTTCATACATGCAGACTTTACACTGATGTGTGATCGTCTTAACGATGTACGTTTTTCTTTTGTTAGCTTTGTATTTTACTTTAGGATGTCTTCAAAACTAACAACACAAAACCACATTTAGTGAGTCATGTTGCACAGTGGTTTTTTCTTTAAACAGCTGCTTTTCATTTACTTCCTATTATAACATTATAGTGTTTCTAATTTAACTCACGAGCTTGTCTGAACTTTCAGATTCACTCTGAAGCTCGAACAAGAAAGTAGAATTGCAGTTTTATTTTAGACATTTGGCTTTGTGGTCTGTAATAAGTTCTATTAATAGTTCAGCTAAAGTGCAAAATGACCTTTGATGTTTGATTTACGTAATATTACATTTAACACATTATCATAATACTCATTTTTAGATTCACCCAAAGATGTACAAATTTCCATCAGTCCTTCTGCTCCAATATTAGAAAACCAAAAAGTGACTCTGACCTGCAGCAGTAATGCCAACCCAGCAGTAGAAAACTACACCTGGTACAGAGCTGATGGAGACCAGGAGACTTTTATTGGGACTGGAAGCTCTTTTAATGTTACCGTTTCAAAAGTCAAAAGTACATTTTTCTGCAAGGCTACAAATGAACTTGGATTTAAACGATCAAGCAACCTACAAATAAATGTTCAATGTATGTATTAATTTTCCATATTTACTCTTTACATATCACAACTAGAATTCTATTAATAGGATTGAAGGATGTATAATACATGAATTATTGTAATGAAACTAAAGCATTAACTGATCTTTGGGGTGGAGTTAAATAATGAGACTGACAATAATCACATTACAAGTAGTTAATTTAAGTATTGGTCATTAAAATGAGGAATTCCTGACAGCCACATTGTTAGGCACATAGTAAGAAGAACTAAAAAAAAATTCAAACTTTCTTCCGATAGCTCTAAATCTTTCATCAATAAATCAGTTAAAGATTAAAGACAGAAGAAAAGGTTATTTCATTTGACATGAACAGAGTCTTCAGAAAGAAAAGCCAAGAAAAACAACTTGTCATTTTTACTCTTCAGTTTCTGCTTAAGATGAAACCTTTATATTGGTGTGGTTTGCTCTCTGCTTTTAGAGGTACAATATTGTGTTTTGCACTCAAGAGTATTTAATATTATTTTAAAAAATATCTTTTGGGGCGCTACTGTATTACATATATTCACACTTACTCTGTAAATAAAACTGTCCTAACATTTCAGTCTGCATGTTTCTGTGCTCATTTTTTCAGATTCACCTAAAAACGTCACAGTTTCAGTCAGTCCTTCTGGTCCAGTACCAGAGAACCGCAACGTGACTCTGACCTGCAGCAGTAATGCCAACCCAGCAGTAGAAAAATACATGTGGTACAGAGCTGATGGAGACCAGGAAAATTATATTGGGACAGGAACTAGTTTAAGTACTAAAGTCTCCAGAGACAAAAGAAGATTTTTGTGCAAGGCTGAAAATGAGATCGGGGTTGGACGTTCTAACCTGACTCACCTTGATGTTCTGTGTATGTATCACACAATTAAAATATTTTAAGGTTTAAGCATAACTTGAGCAGCTATAATATATGCATGGTATCATTATTCATTGCAGATTGTGAAACACAGTGTGGATTTTACAGTGGAGTCCTTCCTTGGGTCCTTGCTGGTGTGTTTTTCAGTGTCAGCGTGATCTGTGCAGCTTTCCTTTGGTATGTTTTAAAACTGGTTGTTGATTAAAACTAAAAGTCCTGCAGATGTTTCCATAAAATATTTTTCAATAATTGTTTTGTATTCTTCTAGCAAAGTACAAAAGAATGTGAAGCCACAAGAAGAGGACAGAACTTACATGTCACTGAATCGTAGAAATGTTGGCTCTTCAGAGTATGATGTCATTAACACAACTCCAAAGTGACCTTCACTGATCCTTCAGGATCTATCTAATTTTGTTTTATTTTGTGTTTCCAGAGAAATAATTCTCAGTCACACTTCTCTTTATTAAATGCATTTAATAGCAACTGAGCGCTTATTCATCAGTTTTTTAAAGGGTGCTGGAGTTGCTCAGTTAAGTGGGATTGAGCAAATCCAGCAGAAAATGCTTCCTAAAGCTTTGATACTGACTATAATCCTGTTTGTTGATAATGTAAATTCATATTAAACTTAACAGCTTATAGTGTTTTTCTTTGGGGTTTTTTTTTTTATAATATTTTCATTTTGCATTCGATGTGAAAAAGCTGGGGCAGGGACATGATTATCAGTAGGTCACATAAGCTTTTAACAGCACTGTTTAGAAAATAGAGACATTAGTGATCTACACGGCTGCTCTTTTCTAC